CCTGGTAGCCCCAGGGCCTCGTAAAGGCCACTTTCTTTCCAGGTGGACGCCCCTGCCTGGGGCAGCTTCAGCGTGAGGTTAAGTGCTTGTGTGGGATGAGAGGTAACTGGGCCAGGAGGGCCACTCACCTCTGCTTCCTAGAAACCTTGCCCACCCACCACCCATCTCCCACCACCAAGAGGAACTGCGCTCTGGGCAAGCTCTCCAAACCCCATCTCCCAGCGACCAACCGGCAGAGACGAGACGTCCATTCAGACTCGGCCTCTAGAGGTTATGTGGGGGCTGCTTGTGACCCTGCTTCCTGTTGAACAACACACTGAACGGGTTTGTGTCAAGACCCCAGAGGCAGAGGATATCCAAGAAGGGTGGGCATCGCTTCCTAGTTTGATGCCAAAACCAGAGCCAGGAAGGTTCTGTGATGGGTCCTGGCAGCCGCGAGCCCCGCCTCGTTTGCTGTGGATTTGTTTTTTGGGGGGCAGGGGGGTGGGCTGCTCAGGCCAGTTGTGCTTTTTTTTTTTTGAATCCTCACCCAAGGATATGCTTTTTATTGGTTTTAGAGAGAGGAAAGGAGAAGGGGGAGAGAGAGAGAAACATCAATGTGAGAGAGAAGCATCGATTGGTTGCCTCCCATATGGGTCCCAACTGGGGGATCGAACCCGCAACCCTTCAGTGCAGGGAATGACACTCCAACTGACAGAACCACACTGACCAGGGCCCAGTTGTGCTTTCAGTCCCCACCTACCCCCTCTTGGAGGAGACCTTTCTGCAGCCCCCCTCCCTGTCTCCTTTGATCTCTGGCTCTCATGCCATGCAGTGCGGTGGACAGACTAGGGAGAATGTGGCCCAGGCCCTTGTGGGGAGAGGGATGTGGGGAGGACCTGGGGAGGAGATCAGAGAAAATGTCAAACTCCCAGGGGAGCTCCCCCCCACCCCCAGGGCATATTGGGAGGCCAGGGAATGGCAAATGCAGCCTTGACAAGTTTCTGGGGATGAAAAGGGCCTTCTGGACTTGATCAAATTCGTTCAATAAACCCCACTGGCAACTTGGCCAGTCCATTCATGCCACAGTGAGAGACGCGCCCTGGGGGCCCCGGTGTGCAGAACTCAGTGCAGAGTGGGCGGGGTGGGGAGGGGAAGCTCAGGAGGTGGCAGAGCCCCAGTCTATTTCCAGGATGTGAGGGGTCAGAGAGGACCCCCTCCAACCAGCCCAACGCCCAGAGGGGAAGGCTGAGGGCCCAGACAGTTAGAGTGAGTTGGGGTGGGGGTGGGGCTGCCCAAGGAGTTCCCGGAGTGAGGAATGTGTGCAGGAAGGGGTGATGGCAGGACTGTTGCAAGAGAACCCAGGGTCCTGCTTCTCATACCCTCTGGCTTCTTGGTTGAAGCCCCAGGAATGAGAGCTGGAATAGCAGGAGAGCCTGGGGGTTTACTGACTTCCAGCTCCAGGTGGTGAGTCACTGCCCCCACCCCCACCCCGGCCTGCGGACCACCGCAGACATCCCAGCCCCCCCTGCAGCCGGCCGGGCTGACTCACGCACTGGCCACAGCCTCCTGCGTGGACTCTGCTTTTGAAGTCCAGTTGGTCTTCAGGCTCCCTGCCTGACTCAGAAGGCAGCCACCCTCCTCTGATCTCTCTTAAAACAGGTGGCAGAGTTGTCCTCCTTCAGAAAAGACAAGAGGTGACAGGAACCCTCGCACACTTTGTCAAGTCATCTGGTCTACCTGATTCTCAGAGGGACGACCGGTAGCTTCCGCCCCTGTCGCATCACAAACAGTCATGGTCCCAGCAGGATCTTCAAGAAAGGGTAGACCACCCACAGCTTCTCTTGACCATCTGCTACAAGGGATCCGTTTGGAAGTCCCCTCTCAGCTCTAACTCCAACCCCTCTTGCTGTTTTCAAAGGCGGTTTTGTTTGCTTTTGTCAAGAACAGAGCTCAGCTGTTAGTAGTTGCAGCTTAATCCATGGGAGGAGGGCCCCAGTGAAGAGTTAGAACTGGGGGGGGGTGGCCAAAAGGTTCTTACTTGACTTGCTGGGAGGGAAAGAATTGGTGATGCATTTAGGATAAAAGACCAAAGGGCTGGGACTCCCAGAGCGGGCAGCATTCCTGAGCCCGCTCTGTCCTGGGGGGAGGGGGGAAGGAAGGAGGGGGAGGGGAGCGCATCTTACCGAAAGGGAGAGGGTGGTGAGAGGGAGGGCTTCCCCTGCCTTTTCCTTGCATGGAAGGGATGGAGCAGTTTCCAGGGTCCCCAGTGAATACCCCCCTTCTGGCCGAACACACACACACACAACACACACACACACACACAACACACACACACCCCCCTCCCCCCATTAATTAGGTTCGGGAGTAGCCTGATTGGTTGGAAAGAGATGAGTAGGAAGATTCAAGCCTAAACGCCACCCTCCCCCCACTCCTGAGTTAGTTCAACTTTGGTCAAAGCCCTTACTCCCTCTGAGCCTTAGTTTGCCCAACTCTAACTTAGGCATAAGAAAACGAGCTCTCCCCTGCCTGCCTCACAGGTAAGTGCGACGTTAGTGTCTTGTTAACTTGTAGGCATCCTGCAAGTGTTGGCTGTTGGTTTTCTCTGGAATGACCTCCTCCGCCTCCCTCTCAGGGGAGGGTTAAATAAGAGGGAATAATAAAGCCAGGCCGGCTCAGCCCAGCTCCTGCCATAGTAGGAGCAAGGGCTTGGGATTCAGAACCACCTATGCTTGCTAATAGGGTGATTAGCGCAACGACTCTTTCTGTGCTTCGGTTTGCCTTTCTGTAAAATGGGTTCCTGCCTCCAATCACTGACCTGGGGAACTTGCATTGTATTACATTATATCTTGATACATTAGTTACCTTTTGCTGCGTAACAAATGACTCCAGATGTTGCTAGTTAAAAACAAGGAACATTTATTCTCTCAGTTTCTGAGGCTCAGGAATCTGGGAGTGGCTTAGCTGGGCGGTTCTGGCTCAGGGTCTCTCAGGAAGTTGCAGTCCGCTATCAGCTGAGCTGCACTCTCAGAAGACTTGTCCGGGGCTGCAGATCTTCCGAGCTCACTCCCGTGACTGCTCACCGTGGGGTTTCTCACAGCAAGGGCAGGCACCTAAGACGGAAGCCTCAATGCCTTTTCAAACCTAAACCCAGAGTGACATATGTACTGTTACTTCAGCTCTGTGTCATTGGTCACGACTACACAGAAGGCGGAGGTCCTTGGGAGCCACCTTAGAGGTTGGCAAAAGGAGGTGTAGGTGAAACGTGGAGTTAGCAAGGCTGTTGTGATTACCATAACCTGCATGTCTCTTTCCATATGAACAGCTGTAAACCTACTTTGCCCACCCCTGTGCAATCTGCCCTGAAAAGTGTTGACCGTCGTTGTCATTATTATAGAAGATGCTAGATTCATTACACATTTCTTCTCATTGCCATAACCTCGGCCACTTAAAATCTATTTATCTTGGTGTCTTTCTCTCTGCAAGAGTGGGAACGGAGATGATTTTAGATACTGAAGACAGATAACGCCAGAAATTTCTCTGTTTTCCACAAATACCAGCAGAGTCCAGATGTCAGTATGTCGCATTCCGAGAGACTGACTGATGGTGAGGCAGCAAATACTGTATGGGATATACTACACTAAAAAAAGTTTTTAAATTGTTGTTTATCCAGGGGGGCGGGAATGACACAGAAGAAAAAAAAGAAAAAAAACAAAATTGTTATCTGAAATTAAAATTTAAACATCATGTACTCTTATTTGCCAAATCTGGCAACCCTACAGGGAAAATTTTTATTTGTGTATTTTGAACATGTATATATTTTCATTTGGAAATGTTTATATCAGTACAGTGAAATTAAAATTTAA